CGTTAGCCTGTTGGGAATAACTAACATCTGTACTTTTTGTTGAGTGTTAACTCTTGAGATCAGACGGCCGCATCTGAAATGTTTTCTCCTCGAGAAAAACCCTTAAAACTCTGCAAGAGTTTGTTTTGGTTTGCTTGTCGATTTGAAGTTATCGTAGTGCATACGACACGCTAGATATAGGGACTGACTCGTTTTCTTAAAGCAATCGACTGTGAAAATGTCGAGTAAACAGCAGATTTTTATCTTTGTACAACTTGCAAATCATAACGTACCACAACTAAATAACGACTTGTGTACTTATTTTCTTTCCTTATTGAACTCTTTGATATTTTCCGCCGTGATTTTGTTCACTTAATGATTCATCTCAAGCGAATTAAAAATTGTGCTATGTGTGGCGGTACACAATGACTTTCAGACATCGATGAAAACAGTTCTTCATACCTTCAAAAGAAAATGCATTTTGTAAAAGTCTGCCTACAGTAAGGCGTTACTTTTGCTTCGAGTAGAAAATTGTCCACCAACTCAAGAAAGTCTGAATTTTGTAATTTTGTCTTCCTTGATAACAAGCTTATTTCTTGGCTGAACTTTGACAAAACCTTCAGTACTGACAAATAACCGTTTATTTATATGTCGATTTGACAGTGAACGAGTTACAATAAGCGCTCTCAATGGTGGGTCCTTTTGTGAACTCACCCAGATCTGAACAAAGCGAAGAACAAAGCCAGACTTAAGCTCGCCATAAGCTTCTCTCATACTTTGCATATTTTCTAGTTTACGCAGAGTAAGAAAAAAACACTGTCTCAAAGCGGTTCAGAGTTACAAATAAAATTTTACGATAAAAAGTATTAGGCTGAGTATTATACATTTAAAAGGTATAACTATCGAAAAAGTGATCTCCATCTGAATATTTTATACTTGAATTCCCATTTGAGTTTTAAAGTTTCTGTTTTTGTGAGTTTATTCCAAAACATTCCGCAAGTTCACTGCTGTGTCACGTTTTAGGGTGTGTGAATCTTGCGTAATTCCTCTGTTCAAACAGAAAAACGTCACAAATTCCTTTCATTTATTTCCCATAAGTTAATCGGATTATGACTGGGGCGCCTGGTAAGAGTTAAATTTGTGAGCAGAAGGAGCAGTTGACATGATATGCCATCCTTCTAATTAACGGTGACAAACGTCGGCCAAATTTCTATTTAAGTAGCACTCAGTCAGAGTCCTCTTTCTTGTCGAATCATGACTTTTTCTCTATTGCCTATCATTTGGTGTTCAGGCTCTGTCTGAATTCGTGCATAACTAAACTTGAGTAGCTTTGTTTGCAGTTGATCAGGTACACCATCCAGTAATATGCAAAAGCTGAGATCTTTACCTTGTCAGTACAGTCACAAAAGGCCCCTGTGAGAAAATAATACCTTCCCACCTGTGTCACGAGCGAAGTTTGATTCAACTCGGAGTTCTTAACACTCAATTCTAATATCTATTTACAGTTATTTAATGTTAAAAATCAATAACGAATCGACGACATTGTCTTATTTCTGAAAAGTGAAAAATATACACAAAAAGATAAATTCCATCTACTTTTGTCAGAATAAAATGCTCCCTGTTTAGAATTACCAACCATTTTTTTGTATTGTTATACAAGGCGATTTCGAAAAAGTTCTGTGTACTCAGAAAAATAGAAAAGATGCCGCTTGTCGCGCAAACACATAAAGCTAAATTATGCGCTGAATCCTGTTAGTGCTTACCTGCTTGCGAGCTACAATTTTCTTTTCTCTTCCCCTGAATATGAACTTAACGAGCCTCGAATCTTGATTTCTCCTCTGACAGCAGAGATAGGAATTGTTTAAAAAGAGCGAAACGGTGAGCTCATAACTCAGTCATTTCGTTCATTTCAGCGTGTGAAAAAAGTTTTTTTGAATTTACAGCCTTTATTGTAAATGTTTATATTGTGCCTATGCTTTGTGTTTGCCGTCTTCCTTGGCTTGTGTATTCCCTTGGTAATTCACTTAACGGTACTTTTGTCGAAAAAATTGAATTTTAAAAAGACCAGGAGGTCAGGGAGACCGGTAAAATGCAAATCAAACTGATCTGGAGGCGGTTGATGCCCATTAATATCACGAACTGAATTATTTCGAAGAGTCAGAAGCTTCTCGTACACTTGGATATTTAACACTTCCTTTTTTTTCAGCAAGGAATTTAGTGAGATCGACACACGACGAGGTTTTAAAAATAGGGCGCTTTTCTATCGTGTGTCGTTGCGTCAAAACCCGAGAAATCCCAGCAGCCAATCAGAGCAAAACTAAGCATCACGTGGACCGATGGAAACCCGGAGCAAATTCATGTTAACTACCCGAGCGCGGGAAAACGCGGCACCATGTCGCCACCGGCCTTTTTCTTTTTTATCTTATTGGTTGAGAAGGTGGTGCGAATGATTTCAGACCAATCACAGCGCGATGTTAAGCTTCCTCGAAAGAAAATCCAATTTAAATCAAATTCACCATTCTTTCGTTAACAGTCGCCCTCGGAAAGCTGAAAAAGTGTCATTCGTTTCAACTGGACCCTTTGGGGAACGATCCCCGAAGGAGTCTCGAATAAGTGCCGTTTACGATAATTTAAGTACAGGACATTTAGTGTTGTGACGAATAATGAAGAGAAAGCCTGTCCTTATTAAAATACAAGAAAATGAAATGAAAGCGCTTGCGCGCGGGTTTTTAGAAAGCATTGTGGTTACGCGCAGTGTCACGCCTCTCTAGGGGGGCACGCGCGAGTACCTCCCTGAAGCTCGCGAACCCGGAGAAAATGTCATCAAATTATTTGAATCGATCTTACAGTATGAGATGTCATGACAGGTGACAGCATATACTCAGTTCCGTTCCTGTCAATTTATGCTTATCTTCCTATCGACAATTTTCGGGAAATTGGGGAAACTTTTATCTCAGTATTTGCTCAGATCTATGTGACACCCGTTGGCTTCTTAATTTTGAGATGAACAGGTGGAGATGTTTCCAGAATATAGAGTTGGGTGTCCATTAACTGGTTCCAGAGTTTCATAACTTGGCTGGGTCAGATAAAGCTAAAAGTTTATTATCTATGGCAGAAGGTATTACTTTGGAAAAAACATACATTTTTAAAATCAAAAAATTGCGAAATTCCAAGTTATTTCCCTGCAGTTATTCAAACATTTTTTAATGGATTTCTAACCAGGAGACCTCCTAAGTACAGATTAAAATGCTACTCTGGTTTGAAACAAAAACTTCCAACGTCTCACAACAGACCTAATGACGACGTACAGAGAAGAGAAATGAATGTTTAATGTGAAAAACAAATCTAGTTTTCCTTTAGAAAGCCTTTTCCTTGCAGCTAAGTTGGTACATTTGTTTACGAAGTTTGCGGTTTGGAATATGTATGTGAACAATGAGTAACGACTCGAGCAGGAGTTTCTTCGTGCGTGAATTTTCTTTGTTTTGAAAGCTTAGAACACTGAGTGTTGAAAGAGGCACATCTCCGACTTGAAATCACCCACAAATCAATTACTGTGCTGATTAAGGGATCAACTGTTAGGCCGAAGACACGAAAAATGATCTTTGTTCGTTTTTGTTACATACGTGTGACTAGAACGAACATTTTCTTGTATTGCATATATCACGTTTTTCATATCAGATCGGGTGCACCTACTATTTCGTAATAAACAGGAACACTTACCGCGCACGATCGGTCACGAAAGGCACGATTCTTATCGGCAATGATCGGCAGGTGGTTCAGTGGAGCAAGCCACTAACACCCAACTACACTAAATCGATTTTATTTTGACCAATGGTTTTGCATTTTGCCATCTTTCTTTATTTAGACGCAGTCATGTATTTCATATCTACGTTTTATTTTGCTTTTGTATTTAGCTGCATATACCTCGACCGCCAGTTGTTTCTATAAATACCTTCTCGAAGTTAGAAATAGCAGAGCGCGCGTAATTTCATTCGTTGCCTAATAGCGCCCCGTACAATCCGATTCACGTGTGGCCAATTTTCTCGCCCTTTTGCCGCATCTCTACGTAAATTATTCGCTCTAATTCCGAGTAGGGTTTTTTCTTTACAGCTTTGTTCAACGGAGAATGTCTAGTCTGCTGTAATTTTGCACTTTTGCTGTAATTTGTTCGCGTGAATAAGGTTTTTTTGCTCATCAGTACCTTAAATCGGCACCAGTAACCAATCGAATATTGCAGATAGATTGTGTTTTGAATTAATTATTTATTTTTTCATCCATGTTTCGGTTTAAAGAATGATTTTGACGCGTTTATTTGGGCAGGAAATCAATTAACCAGACTCCCCACGCCAACCCATATATCATGTTACGAATTAAACTTCTCTGGAATTTTCGACGAAAATACGCTTAGCGAGTGACTAATATAAACATATCTGCACGAATTATCTAGACACATAAACGCCAATTATTGTCTATTCGCACAAGTTTATCTCAGTTCGACGAGAAATAGAAAATTTCGGAAAATGAAGTTCAGCTAATAAATTCAAACAACTCTTGAATTCCCGATTTCTTCCTTTTTAGGGAATTGTCGTCAGACGTAACAAATTATGCATGCAGTGTCGTAAATTGCTCAGGAATTGCGTTGTTTGTTTCTATTTAAAGAGAAAGCTTTCCGAGGCGTCAAGTTTTTGTAATTGAATAAAGACATTTTAAGCAAGGATTCATGACAGAAATGTTTCAATAATAAGCGAAGGCAAGTTCACGTTCGATCTTCGTTTTCAATTTGAGTTCTGTCATCATTCTTCCCGTTAACCTTCACCTTGTCGAGTTTATATTAAAAAACGATTCCTCGCTGTTGATTGGATGAAAATTTCTTATGCAATATGAGGTCATGGTCTTTTGCGGTGTCGCAAACAAAAACAAAAGAAGCCAGCGCCTCTGCAGTTGAACGTATCACGTACAGAATTTAGCGTATGCGCTTTGTTAATATAAGAATCAACACCGGGACCGGTTGTGTCTAAGCCATGGACTCGCCATCAAAAGACATTTCTAATGTATTGGATGAATTCATAGCCGCTGTCGAGGAAACTAAACAAGTGTTACAAAGTCCGAGTGTTCCCGGGAAAACAGATGCCTGCTCTCTGTGTGAATGTGCGCGACCTCGGAGAAAGAAAGTTTTCGTCCACGATCGTTGCGATTGCGAACTGCTTCAGTCTCATTTAATGGCACCGACGGGTGAATTACACAGATATGGCGATAAATACGATCAAACAATGTTTTTTAACCAGCATTCTTCTCGAGAAAAAGAAGCCGAAGGATTAGTGACTGAAATGAATTCACTTCTGAACCAGATATCTAGCGCCGCGAATTCTTTGAAAAAAATCTACCATCGACGATCTTCACCAGTGATCGAGGACATATGATATTTTTCTACCTCGGAAATGGTCTATGACCGCTGAGTTTTGCCGTGAAAATGCAGTATGCCATGGAGAAGACGATCGTGCATATAATAATGTTATCGACGCTATCACTATCGCATAATATAAATGAAATCTGTTCCTGGTTTCGTCAGTCCAGATACGTGCAAACGCTCAAATATCCACTCAGCTGAATTCACTGAAGTCTTGGAAATCAAGTGAACGACTTATATTCTACGCTCTCGTTTGGAGCTGTGATGAATACACTTGGAAAGAAACTGAAAATAATGCGTGATTTTAGGCGCCGCTGTGCTTTCGATTTCTTCCTCGCGTGTTGTATTTCACTCGCGAGTAGCTCTTTGTTTTTTTAAAGGGTTTTGCGCTTGAAATACACAACGAAGTACCGGTTATTTGGTACCTTTTACCACCTGTAGGAAGCATTTTGTAGCAACTTCATGACACAGTGGTAAAGTGGGGTGAAATTTTCAATTAATGCTCATAAATTTTGTAGCACCTGTACGGTCTACAGCTGACCGGACGCTCTATCGCGCGAGGAAACAAGACAATACGATCATTTTTTTTCCCATTTCATACACGATAACGAGTAAGTTACGAAAGTAATATTAGAGAACTAATAAGGATTGTAAAAATTTGGGCTGGTTTTAGAAAAGAAATAGAATTAAAGAATCGGAAAATTTCTCTAGGCGTGTGTTTAACAATACAGATTACACTTATTTCTGAAAGGGGAATTTTGCGACAAATAATTTCGGCAAAAAAGTTCTTAAATTAAGTAGGGTCTTTAGACCACATACGTAAATCGGAGAACGAAGAGGAAAATTAAAGTTTTCCATCAAGGACTAGGGAATTGCTCATGAATAAATAAAATCAGATTAGGAGAAGGAAAAATTATCGTGTACATATGTACAGGTTAAAAGTAAACAGTTGTACATGAAATGTTAAAGTTACATTGTAAGTAAAGAAATGTAGTTGTAAAATTATGAGAGAATAAAGACTGATTGGGTGTGAAGTAGTCTGTCAGAGTGGTTAAATGGCTTGTAGAGACGAGCTCTGTACATGAAAACATGACTTCAAAGTGTGACTATGGAATATGTAACTCTGTCATGATCTCAACCGACTGAACGAACTCTTTTCCATACCGTTCTCAGTTTCTAGTTCTCAACCAACCGAGCAAACTTTATTCTATGTTGATTGCGAAAGGACGAGAGAAAAGTGCAGCCATGGTTATAACAATAAAGATGAGCCATGAGTGGTATGTTTAGAAAGCCCGTAGGTAATTCACCCTTTGTTACATAACCTCTGAATTGTAAGGGACTAAGTGTTAAGTCTTTGAATTTCAGGCAGCAGGACAGTGTCATGGAATTGTTTGGAATCTGGAATCCCAAATGTTAATTTTTTTTTTATTCCGATATCTTCCTGTCTGGGAACTCCTTCCACCCAAATTGAAACAAAATTCTTCTAAGGACTGTCAGAACTGTTTTTTTTTCACGTTAAATTGCACGTGAGTGAACAGAAGAATGTCTAGGATGCGTGCGGAGCATTTCAAATGACTGATACAAAAGAGCTCTGGTTGATCTTAACTTGAATTTTCTTCGTGTAGAGGGAAAAATCGAAAAACATTATTCCAGCTGATTATTGAAAATAAATCAAGTGTAAGGTCTTGTTACTTTATTACTTGTCACGAGGAGACACCTGCCTTTCATTCCACGCAAATTCACGCGCCTTAAGCTCCCACGCGCGCTCTAAAGCGGCTTCCAGGAAACTTCTACTTGTCACCCACTTCAAAGGCAAGTGGTTTTTTAGCCACTTTAGTGAAAGTGTCATTATCTGCAGATAAACTAAAAGGAATTGTAGAACGTTTGACTCTTAGTCATCTCTATTCGTTCAGGACTATGCTTTTTTCACGTTTTGCCTCGCTAGTGTGATGACTGGTGAACCTCGTGGATGTTACGTAACTACGAGCGCGTTGTAAGCGTCCCTTAGTCTGGCCCGTGCCAGAAACCCAAGATTTGAAATGTAGCCGAGATACTACGCGCACCCTGATTGGTCATAATCTGGTCGTTTATTACAACGATAAGCCCTTTGCTATTAGATATTAGAAGTGGTTTACCGCAGTTTGTCCTTTTTTTTTTTTAACTGAATTAAAACACTATGGGTGTTGGTAGAATACTCGTAAAGTTTACGAATTGATTGTTGCTTTTAACCCTGTTCGATATGCGATATTACCTAACTGCAGGAGATAATATTCGTAGTATTATGATTGAAACAAAGAACGATGTGAAGCTTAAGCAATTCAATGTTTAGAAATATTTCAGTAAAATGACAGAAAATGAACAACAGGTATTGGTAAGTCGTCTCTTGGGAGCAGCCGGTACATTACATAACTCTTAGCGCTGCACGCGCTACATCAGCAGGTACCACAAGTCTTCCATAGAAGAGATTTAACACGTGCACGAGGAAGAAAGGGAATGAAGGAAAAAAAAAACGAGAACATGGTAAATAATAATTGGTACCCAGATGACTGGCTGCGGTGTTAACGAATGTGTCATTCGAAACGGCTGTACAGTATAACAATACTCTTGACTATGGTAGTCAAGATTGCCTGAAACCTGCGAGCAGGCATTCCCTTTTTGTTATTTTTTTCGGAGGGAGGGGGGAGGGGGCAGGAAGAGCGTAGCGGCGAAGGAGTCGGCGGTCTGGATAGCAAGAAATGGCCTTGGCTCCAAATTGAGTCTGAAATGCTTCTTGGTCTGAGGTTCGATTCCTCATGGGAACTCAGAATTTTTTTTGGCCCTCGCTCGTGACAAGACGAAAAACATCTTTCTCTAGTGATAACTAATTGATAACTTCTACTTACTGGTCTGTCTCAAAATTTCCCGATTAAGTTTTAACCCTAGACGTCAATAGTATATGCTGATAAAATCTTGTATCAAAGAAAATTAAAAACTTCTCAATTTTCTCCGGCGCGAGAAGACTTCATAAAAAGAATGTTATCAGTTACTTGGGGTTTGTTCCCTAAAAGGCTGCTTCTTCATTGATTACTGTCCAATATTGTAGAATTAAAATCACATTTTTTCCAAAAAAAGGGAGGGAGTGGGGTAGGGGTATTTGTCACATCATTCAGACATGGTTGTCTGCGGAGGGAAATGAATGAAACATAATACGGCAACAAGTACATCAGCCCGCTGAGACTAAAATTTTTTTTATTTACATATGCAGCATCGCAGACATCGCTGAGACTAATTTTTTTTATTTACATATACAGCATCGCAGACACAAGTCGGTGCACGAGCCCTATCAGATATCTTTATATATGACTCCATACTGTTCCAAGACAAAGCATTACTCCTAACTTATTGTTTTCACTGTTGTTTTCTCTTATCAAAATGGTAATTTTGCGTAATTAAGTGTGTGATGGTGCGGAAATATGTCTTCTCGTCGCTTAATTGGATTTTTACGCCACAAAATGCAGTAACTTCGACGCTGTAAATGTAATAGTTCAAATAACATTTTTTTGAAATCAAGGTCAACAATCTGTTTGGATGATACGGAGAATTGCTTATTTTAGCAAATACAAGATTACATAGAGATTCCGTAAGAATAGCTTGTGAGTTTCGTCAGGTCACGCCACTAGATGTCTCGTAAAATAGTCAGTTAATCGCAAATAAATAGATTTACGGTGTTTTCTGCCTTGTCGAGTTTCCACGCAAATTGACATATGGAAGTGGATTTCTCAATCATTTTTGACTCCATAAATGAGTTTACTTTCATCAGCGCGTCTTGAATTTCCTTGGGAAGGTTGTACAGGTTTACTGGATGCAACCAAACATTTTCTGACGTATTTTTTATTGCTGGAACCTGGGTCGTTAAATTGATATGACTTGGTGGAAATGGTGAAGTTCTGAATCGATCCTGAATTCTTCTTGAAGCGGCGACATAGATTCCGAGGAAGAGAATGGAATTAACCAATAATAATACAAGGAAGGTCTTTGCCTTTCTACAGTCGTGACGAGACAACTTGAATGGTGTGAATGTAACGGGCATAGTTGCTTAAACATCAACTTTACATGACAGAGCTCGTCCGAAATTGATGTTCATTCTCCCTTGAATATTATTCGTTCGTATTTCGAAGTTCTCGTCATCATTCACTTGAAGTCCTTTCGAAGTAGGCCATATTCGATTTAATAGCGTGACTTTGGTCATGACGTCATTGAGAGGAAGTCCACTAGGAAGTAGACAACGACTGGAAACGAGGGTAAATACTCTCTTCTTATTTGGCACTTTGAAGGGTGCTTATCTACGCCACTTGTTCATCATTGCTTGAGATTTTTCCACTGTTTGTGGACTTAAAGCGTATTTCAGTTCGAAACTAAAATAGTCACAACAGCTAATCCGGAGAATGAAAATATGAAAGCTAAAACAAAGGCAAACCGTTTGGAGCGCATGATTACAAGCGTGTCCGACTCGTGATTGATTTTAGTTATGCATGTGAAAGGCTTAAAAGTGATGCAGCTCTTTTTCATTCCAATCTGAGAGAAAAGCAAATATTTCCCTGAAGTTCTCGAGCAAATAATCAGAAAATTGATTGCAATGTAAGAGTTTGACAATTGTTATCTGAGATCCTTGGCAATATTTGTTTGATATATTCTTACCTCTTCAGTGTTTGTCGACATTTCCAAGCTGCTATTTTGATCATTTATTTTATGACAATTCCCAATGACTTATAAGACTCAATTTACTTTAAAATAACCCCTTCAAGGAAAAAAAATTGCGTTACTTTGCCAGCAAAGATAAAATTCAGTACCAACGCAACTGCCCCTAAGAGAACCAGGCCAAACATTTTGCTAAGTGATGCATTTATCAGGGTAATTTAGTATCATCTGAGTTGATAACGTAGATTGGGCACAGTAACGAGTTTAAAAGCTGACGTTTCGGGCGTTAGCTCTTTGTCATCGCTTTGACGGTGGCCAATTTACGTTATCAAGTCAGTTGATGATACTAAGTTACCCAGTTATACTCTCCCACCGACGCAGCACCACAGTTTCTTTAGAATCTTACCTGACTCATTTCTCAGGCAGGTTGAGCTAGCTAGCACTAACAAACTCAAGTATTGTTCATTCTTCGGGATAGGGACCCGCGCTCCAAATGCACGTAGACTACAAATGAGTACCGGCGGGGTTTTCGGTGAACCCCCATGGAAAGCTAGAGGTATCTAGGGTTAACACAACCCCGCCCCCCCCCCCCCTTCCCCATTCTAATATCCACCAGCACAAACGAACTTGGTTTTTGGCGCAGTTGATTAACAAGCAGTTCAGATAAAGAAGATTTCAACAAAACCGTTTCTATAGCCCGCCGGCTTAACCTAATAACCCTTGAGCGTGACTAGCATCTAATTTCTCACCAAGGTATCACTACAGAATCAATCATTGAGTTCATGAAAATGAAAGAAACGTTCTCAGACTTGAAAAGCTCTTGCTTTTTAGCTATATTCTCCTTGTCTGTGCCAAAGAAAATGTATAGAGAACAGTATGGAGAATATACATTCTCATGTAGGCTGTAAAGGGTTAATGGCTCTAAAGTAGTAAAATAAACGACAATTATCCAGAGTAGGTTAAAATCACCCTGTATTAATTTAGTTTATTCCCATGAAATACATTGCTTAGAGAATTAACAATTCAGTAAATTGTACAGTGGAGCTGCAGAAAACTGCATCATCTTCTCATAATTTGCTTTCTTACCTATCATTTCGAATTGTATGCAATTACAAAATCTAAAACTAATTAACATACAATTTCATGAAATAATTAAATACTTTGTGGCCCATGAAGTATATAAAAATATTTGCTTCGAATTTGTTACAGCTATTTAAAAATTTACACAAGACTGCTTACGGGTAAATCTCTGGTTAGGGTTGTTATTGTACTCTGCAAACTGCTTTTTAAATTGTAAGCAGTTCCTTAGTTCAATCGTTTTACTTTGCTACGGCCTTCTGTTGAGTGAAGTCAAGTAATTGCACAAAACTTGGTTTTTTAAAAAAGATAGACTTCACAAACATCTGTAACTGGATACAAAAAACTTCACTGCACCTAAACTTTCTATTTACATAACATGATTAACGAATGACAAATACATAGAATGGGATAAAAAAGGTAGGAAACGGAATTTAAAAAAAAAAAAAAGAAAAAAAGCGTAAACCTTTGTCTATAGTGAAACGGGCGGTTTCTTTACTGACCAAGCTGGACGAAGAAAAAGAAGCGAAACACAACCAAAGAGATTGTCACGCGCTCAGCACTAGTATCATGTTTTTCTGCGTTTGCTAATTGTTCCACGGAAATTTCCAGGTTTGATGATGGTCTATTTCATGTCTTTCTGTGTTTTCTTCTTTTTTCCCCCTTTTGACGCCTGGAAACTTTTTAATTTTGAGTCCTGACTGATTAATATCCTTGCGAAGTGTAATAAGGAATGTACTACCAGATCAAATAAGCCAAGTAACAAGTACGCTAACATATGATTGATGAAAAAATTGTCGATTACCCGTAAAGCTTTTTTTTTGTTGTTTTCAGCAAGACATTATTTTGAACCTCTCGCAGATATATAAATGGATACATAAGAGTCCCTTCAAATACCTTTGGTAAAAAATAATCCTCGGTTATTACGAACAAACTGCTCCACACACTCATTACCTCACTGCTACGTTGTTTATCGCTAAAACGTGAAGGAAATATTATTACTGTTTATAATAGTTCTTTATCCCTACTCCTTTTGCGTTATATCAAGATTTGCTTTGTATGAAAGCTCAATTTCTCGGGAATATAACTTTTCAAAGTACGCTTTGAACCTTAAGCAGCTCAGTTGAATTAACTCTCACAAATGACAGACTGCCCTCCATCATTCTGACAGATTTTCATTCTCTGCTTTTTTTTTGCTCATTCGTTCAAATGGTTTGATACAATTTGCAATTCTCTATAATCAAATAAAACTTGCTTGTTAACTTGACTTGTGTGAAGTTACTTGAAATCAGCACTGACATTTAAAAAATAATGACGCACTTCTGGTCGGGGCCACTGAAATGACCTGCTACATACTCAGTCTCTATCGATATGTATACTTAAAAAACATTTCAAACTTGGCTGATTTTCTTAGCACGAACCACCAGTGAAGTAAATTTTTCGTTATCAAGTTTATGTACCTGATCCGTATTTTGCCAGACGCGCTAGGGAGCTGCTTTATGGAGAACATCACACACACAAAAAAGGGAAAGCAACCTGTCGTACCTTCCACACTCAGAATATTACATACTGCAAATTAATGGTTCGGAAGATATAAACTCTCTGTTACATAAACTAAAGCATTCGTTCTTGTTCACCTAATACAGATCCCCTTCTGGCTCAATATAGAATCCATAAATGAAAAGATTAGTTATACATTCTTTAGAAAATAAAGTCAGTCAATTTTTCGCTGTACATATTGAATAACTTGCATAACTAAAATGAAATTCCTCGGCAACTTATTTTCCCTTAATTTGACAATGTTCCATATATTTTTTGGTTTCCTCGTCTGGGCACCCTTTTCAGAAAAAAATACCTTCTTTCCACAATACAAAACGGTAATGAATCTTTTTTTGTTCCTTTTCATTCGTATAACACAAGGTGTCGTCTCGCCAAACACCGTTTATCTCTAGCTGGTGCCCATGGCTTTTTTTCTACAAGTTGCCACGGCTGTCATTTACCCAAAAAGCTGGTACCCATTGTGGCTCCACATCAAGTTTATCGATGGCCTGTTTGAGTTCGTCAAATGTTCTTTCCAAGTCTGTGTTCACGATTGTTTTATCGAAGTAATGGCCGTACATTTCTTCCATTTCTCTCGCTTTAGTCACCATGTCATGTAATTCCGCGTCCTTAGAATGAAAACAATACAAATATGAGCGGGAACTCTCACAGCAGTTAACACCTACTGCTGTATGGCCTTATTTTAGCCAGTATTAAAAACTTCTTTGAACAGTCTCAAAATTTCTCTTACATTTGCAAAATCGTCGATGGCCTTTCCCTTCTGTTTCCTATTTAACAATTTTTATCGCTATTTTGGATCAATGCCAGAACCTGAGCAACTGCGCACTTACCCCTCACCTAACCCAACAACGGTTAACTGACAGCAATTAAGGGTTAATGTTGAGTTGGAGGAGGGGGAGGTGCGCACAAATTGATCCGCTATTTCAAAGAAAATTTATCTTCTTCTTACAAAAACCTAACATATTTTTTGGTCAATTTGATTTCAGCTTGATCCCGGTAACTGGTACGACAGCTCTAACGATAACGACAACAACTGGTACTCACAGACATAGGTGAATTTGGATTAGGGTTGAATGGATCCACTCTTCCTCTCCGAAGGGTCAATATTCTATCGTAAGATGGCGGTGAGATGAAAACCACGTAGGGTTTCACATCAGAAGCTTTAAGCATCTTGAGCGCCTGGAATAAAAATGCATATCAGAGGTTAATAAACAGAATGTTTCTACTTTGAGCAATTCGGCTCGAGATCCGTCATAACTGTGAGCCAAAAATGTTCCCGTTCGGCCCACCCTATCTCAGTTTTTCATATGATCGGTGCTCAATTGTCATCCTGCATTTCAGGGCTACATGCTGGGTTGAGCGTCTTTTTCTGGGCCTGATCGCCTACTCGCGTACGGCCCTCATGCGGGGAGATTATTTATTACATTTCCATCAAAAGCACGCGAGTCGCATGGGTCATATGATAATATTACTTGAGTAGAGTATTAGTAATAAGTGTGCTGAGTTAAGATATGCAAAGTTAATAGACTGCAGATAAGGGCACACAGAAGTGTGGACTGTACTCGAATGAAACTCAAATTCTCTGCATGGCATAGAATCACAAATGGAACTGTAAAGCTACTTGCGACATACCTCACAATGGAGATTTAAAATACAGTATTTGCCAGAGTTGGCCACTCTTCTAATGGAGTCTAAAGCGGTGCCATAATAGTGACCCTCGAATTCTCCGTGTTCCACGAACTTATGGGCCACAATGTCCGCCTCAAACGTGGGTAGTGGAACAAAGTAATAATCTCTTTCATTGACTTCTTCAGGTCTTTTTGGGCGGCTGGTGTCTAAAGCGGGAAGTATGATGTGAATTATGAAGTATGATAATTAAAACACTCCAAAGAACTTTTTTATTACAGTACTCCGCTTGATGTCTTAATAGGTGGAAAAATTATAATAAAACAGACAGAGGAAAGGAAGAGCCTACTGATAAATGGTAGACGAGGGAAGAGAGGAACAGACAGATAGACAGAAAGACTGACAGGGAAACGGAAAGAGAGCAAGAAAGGACGGACATACAGGGCGAGCAACGGACGGAGATGGGTTGATAGACCGACAGAGGGAACGAGAAACAGATGATAGAGTAGAAAGCAGAACAAACGGACACGCAAACGGACAGACAGACTGACATACATACAGACAGACGGACAGACAGAGAGTCACACAACGGGTCCATTAACCAATCGTTTAAGTGTTCGTTTGCACTTTAGGAACGATTCTTTGATTATATAATGACTCAGTGATAAAACGCGAACAGAAATGTACTTACGAGGTACCACTAGGGCAAAACGTTCTCGTGAAAATAGAATCAGCTTTTGTCTTAACTCTTTCCGGCCAACTTTATCAGGTCCTACACAGGAACAAATGGAACAAAAAATTACAGAGGATCAATTCATATTTTTCAACCCAACTGCAAAGTCTAAAATGCTTTAAGAGTGATTTGCTTCATATCATTAGCAGAAATAGTCGCGTGAGATTAATCTTGGACTTGAAAGCTGGAGAGGAGGGTTGGACCCTAGCGAACATTGCTTGCAAATACAGACCATCACATCTCTCTGGGCAATGGGACAGGAGTGGTTGAAGGCGGATAATTTCCCAGCAATGATACTGTGTTCGTTAAAACCAAAAGTGAATGCTTATATCTGGTTCTGTAACACGAACCAAGAACACGTCTTCGCTCTTGAAAGGGATGCTAATCCACCAGAGGTTTCCCACTACCCCCCTCCTCCCTCCCCCCCTCTATTTCTCAGCTTTCCCTGACAGTTCACTGTTACCCACTACTAAGTGGAGAGGGGGACTGGGCGAGTTAAGTGTCTTTAAAGTGACAAATCACAGCGACCCGGCCTACCTATAAGAACCACAGGCCGTTTTCTGTGAGGATCTGGCTGTAAATGCGCCACTTCTTCGTATGTTAACACCTCGTCCGCCACATATTCTAAGGGAAAAAAAACAGTTTTACGTCAGTGGGAGAGTAAAACAAGGTAATTCAGTGTTATAAACTGAGTTGATAACGAAGTGCCAATGCTCAAAACGTAAACTTTGAAACTCTTGACGATGGTCAATTGAAGTTATAACCTCAGTTGATAATACCAATCTACCTTGTTACATAATTAGACCGGTGTACAAGGAAATCAAACGTGACGGCGTGATAGTAAATAATGGCAACGTGGACTTGCTTGGGGAATTACTTTATACCAACCTTCGTTGTGTTTCGCGTTGTAAAGAACCTTTTTCCTTCGCTTTCGCTTGAAACAAAGACATCCACTCTCTGAAGGTGAAAACAAAACAACATTCTGTTGGTTATACAGTTCATAGTTTGACTTTGGGAGTAAAAAATTATCATGCAGTGTGGTCTTCCGGGTGAGGGTGATACGGCGAGGCCTGTTGTCGGCGAAAGTGACTGACCAGCAATGAGTTAGACAGCTCTAAAGTGACTGACCAGCAATGAGTTAGAGACAGCTCTAAAATGACTGACCACCAATGAGTTAGAGACAGCTCTAAAGTGACTGACCAGCAATGAGTTAGAGACAGCTCTAAAATGACTGACCACCAATGAGTTAGAGACAGCTCTAAAATGACTGACCACCAATGAGTTAGAGACAGACAGACAGCTCTAAAATGCAACATTGAAAATCCTTACTTTCTTTGTTGGACGGCTCAGCTTCTCGAGTTGATTTCTTCATCGATTCTTTCCTGTTGGAAAAAAGGAAAGAAATGAAAAGTTAAACATAATCACCATGAAAATATTGTAGTTGCTAAATGTAGCTGATGCGAGCTCTTTTATAAACTTACTGTTGCTGAAAATGCTTGGATGGAATGAGTCCGGCTAATTGTCTGCCTTCCTCGCCTGGTCTCCAAGCCTACAAACAAAGAAACAAAAAAAAAAGTGAATGTTTTACCAACGAACTCGATAACAAATTGGTAGATAATTTCGGGTTGTGGGTAACAGTTTGGGACAACATTCACCACTGACCTGCCACCAGTTAGGATCTTCTTGATTGACAACATGCAGAATGTCTCTTTTTCTGAATGCTAGTCCCAGTTCCTTGCACGGTATCAACTCGTCTTCGTAAGGATGGTAGTCGAAGTGCGCGCGCACGTGGACTTCTCTATCAGGTGGGACGCGGGATCGATTGGCTGGATTTAGAACAAATGTTAACGTCCCGTTCATGTCCGCCAGCAGTTCACAAACCTCTGTTACAGTTTTCCCTCTCATGTTTACTCCATTTATTTCAAGGACTTCATCGCCCTCTTGAAGAAGACCTAGGAACCAAACAGCATGTTTAAAAGAGGAAAAGAGAAAGACACACTGTAGCTCTTCGTTACCTTTCCCCTTAGCTAAAGGGGACTCCTAAGTGAGGTAGGCCATAACTAGGCTTAAATGCGACAAATGTTCTGAACACCGCTAGCATCAGCAAGGTTGAAACCGTTTTGTAAGAGAGAAGATAACAAAGATGATTCTTACCACACTTATCTGCTGCACCTCCTTTAACAATTCTACCTATCATCACGGTGCCATTTTCATTCTTTACAGTAGCTCCAAGTGGTTCAGTTGCTTTGTCTATTCTCACAATCTTCACATTGTCGTCTTCCACATGAGAGAATTCATCCGTAGGTTGCTGCGGTTCTTGCTGATCTTGGGATTCGGGTGCATCCACTTCCTGTTCTTCTTCCTCGCTCGGCAAAGCTTCTCTGAAAGCGAGTCTATCATGCGCCATCAGAAGACCCTGAAATGGCACAATTTTCAGGATACTGTCAAAAGTAACCCGGAGACACGCTACATTTGCCTTCTAAGCTCTACGATTGGTATAGATACTCGTACCATCTTCTCAACTAATCAGAGGCAAAAAAATAACCCAATGGCGATTCAGTCGCAGTTTAGTTGTTTTTACTGATGTCGGGTTTCTTGTGACATTTTTTATAGAGTTTGTTGTTGTTGGCCGCTGGGGTAACTTTAGATTTGGTTATAGAACACTCAATCGAAATGCAACTAATCACAGAATTTGCCTGACAGGGCACAAACCAAGAGAAACGTTGAATTTTCCACAATAGAACATGGATTGTGTTTCATTTTAAATCACTTCGACACTTGGAAGGTTCGACATTTGATCATGGCCTAAGATTTAGAGTCAGCGGATGAAAATACTCCAACACTTAATTGGTCACCCCAAAAAAACTTTAATTTACCTGAAAGTTTGGCATCTCTAAGATTTGTACCAATTCATCTGCATCTCTTGAATGTCTGGCTGCCTCAAGGGAATGTTTCAACTGAAATATTCAACAGAATGCGCACTTTAAAACTGAAATCATTTTGTCTTTATTTAAGGAACCTACTTAAATGTTTGGATCCCTAAAGCAAACAGACACACAACGAAACAATACAAAAACACTGATAGAAACAACAATGCAAAAGAAATAAGTTTTGATGTAACAAAGGCCTTCTCAGGCTAAGTTTAAGAATAATAATTATGCCAAAGTGATGTTTTGATTGACCTTAAAATTCTCATAGCTAGCTTCAAGGTAGCAGTGTTGGGAAGTAACGATTAAATCACCTGAGAAGAGAGAAGTTGTGAATTTGTAGCAACAGGTCTGACTGCACTCGGTCCTCGTCCAGATCTTTCAAGTTCAATCATTTTAGTGTAAACCTAAAACCAACAAGAAAAAATACAGAATTAAGCAAGAGAAACTGGTTACATCCCTAACTTATTATTCTTCTTGATCACGTATTGAAGCAGTTATCAAATCCGTACTCACTTTTGTAGCATCTTGAAAATCTTTCTGCTCCAAGAGGTTTTCCACAAACGAAATTCCTTCTCTGTCGTTACCACTTTGCAGCTTTGATTTTAGTTCACTGATGCCTGGGAAAAACAGTTCTTTCTCTGCTGCTCCTTGTAAACAAAACAACAACAGTTATTCTAAAGTAGAAAACAAACTTTGCTATTGACTAGAATGTATTAAATCCTTGTTAGTAAATAGATAATATGTTTCTGCCAATTAAATTGGCAAAAACAATCCTAAATAACAAGAAAATTTTGTATTATTAACTGAGCTGATAACATAAATTGGCCATTGTTAAGAGATATAAAGCTTAAGTTTTAAAGTTTGAAAATCTCAAGTTGTATAGCTTTGGAACTCTTAACAGTGGTCAATTGACGTTACCAACTCAGCTGATAATACTAAATTACCTTGTTATAATATCTCACCAACGCAACACCACAGTTTCTTTAGTGGAAACTTACCCCCTTTTTTCATTTCTGTATAACTATTGAGTGTTTATTTTCTAAAAACTGAGGATTGATCACATTGAAGGAAAAAGAAGTGGTCTTCTTCACTGATTATTCAAAGCTTATTGAAAACATTTATAAAAAAATACATGTTAGGTGCAACTTCTCTGCATCATATCATTACATTTTTCAGTAAATGGACAGTAAGAAAGAAAAATAAGTCTGCTAGATGGGGCTATACTGACTTGCTTTAAGTTCAACCAATTTTGTTTATTACCTAAGTGGTTACAGACCCAAGTGAAATCCACTAGGGCCTATTGCTATTAAACATCATAACATAAGTGACACTTCTTTCAGGTTGCTGAGCACAAGAGAAGTGTAAGAGTCACTTGAGGTAATAGTCAAGCAAGACTTTAGCTTCTTGAGTGCTTAGCAAACATCCTGTGTGTATCTATAACTCAATAGTGTATGCTGTGGTGTTTACCATTTTTTTCATAATATAACATTGATACATTATAGGAAAAGAGTTCCCTTTAGTTGAACTAAACCTGTTTGTGTAGTCTTACATGACCAGACAAAACAAGTGGGCAAAAACTAGTCATTGTGCAGCTCTACTAGTTATTAAAGTAATTGTGATCACATTTCCTGAAATTCATGAAAAAAATTCTTTCTCAGTTTTGTATCTATAGACAATCAGTACAAATGTTCCATCATGAGCAAAGTGTCAGATGTGACATCTGCAGTGTACACCCATGAGCAAAAGTAGACACTGCATTGACCAATCAGAGTGTATGCTTTCAGTTGTTTATGTTTTAATGAGGGATAAGCTCCTACCTGGATGATCTTTTTCATTGTCGCTATCATAAGCTTGATTATGCAGAGCCCATGTATCATCATCATCATCATCATCCACATCAACAGCTGCCTCTATAGCATCCAGCTTTGTCAAATCAATGAGTGGTGTTGAGAGTGACTTGTGTTTCTGTAAGTTTGATTGAGCTAAGTTTTTCCCTGATATTCCAAAACTTTTATTGCCAACATCTTTATTCCACCCAGGGTCAGTTGGTGAGACAACACCAATGTCTCCATTTCTATAAAATTTATCACTGTTGTGTGATCCTTCTGATTCAGCATCAGAGTTGTAATATTGGAATTGTGGATCACTCTCATGCTCTCTCATGATTTGCTGAAGTTTATCTTTTGTGCCTGTATCCACTTGCCCATTGTAGTTGCCATTTATTCCATCATAAACATCTATACCATTGTTTAGCCCTAAAAAAACAACAACAAAAAATTAATTTTTTTCTTAGTCCATTGAGATTACCAGTCTTTGATCTGGTTTCCCTCACTCTCAAGATTAGGACACCGAGAAAATTCAGCAATGTGAAACATTGATTCAATCTAGGAAGCCACTGAAGTCACAAGTATTTAAATTATGCTTTTACGCATTACTACTTTTCTCAATTGGATTTGCTCTAATCTGAAACACTGATATCTCTGATTCTGATCAGTTACAATTAAATTGTTGTAGATAATCAGGTAAAGCTATTCTTTCTAAAAACATAAATAAACTCTAAGTCCATTCATTTTCTGACAAATAAGTTAACAACAGATCCATGACCCTCTTCAAAACATTTATTTACTAACCTTGAAAAGATCTTCGTCCTCTCCTTACTTTCAGTGCAATGACCCTGTTTCTAAGACACTAAATATAAAATGAAAAAAGATCCAATTACATCATGCATGACACAAGCTTCATAACCACTTGATTTCCAAAAGAAAACAGCAAACTGAAAGAGGAAGTTTTAACCCTTTAAATGTGCTTTGCTAAAAACATTTTGAACTTTTTAACATTAACTAGGATTCCATCAATTCTATTGGAGTATCAAAATAAATGATTTTAAAATTATTTTTGTATAAACTTAAAGACATACTTTGTGAATACTTAAAATGACTTCTGTGTGGCTAAGGTTGGTTACAGGCTCTCCATTCACTTCCAATATCTCGTCATCAACCAGAAGACCAGTTTTTGCAGCAGGAGAATCTATTAAAAATATTAACAAATATTTATTAGTATTAAACCCAACCTGAGCAACGTTCATGATAACACAGAGCAATTCATTCTTCACTTCAGTTATAACTTTATACCATGGAAAATTAAATAAAACTCAAACAAGAGGTACAAATGTTACATCATGTCATGAAGTCAGTTTACCTTTGGAGATTTCATCAATTCTTGGTGGAAATCCCTCATCTACTCCTCCCATAACAGAGAAGCCAAATCGTTTTTCATCACCAAGTATTCTGACATTAACAGCAAACTCCACAGCATCATCCCCCTGTGTAGATCAAAGTAAAGACACAAAATGTCAGCCTTCTATTAGAATTATATAACAATTTATACATGTTAACCAATACCAGCCCTTTTTCTCCTCAAGACCTGGATTCAAGTTCTACTCTCTGACCATAATAAACAATCTTTTTTATATCCATTCTGACAATTATACTTGACTTTCCCAGTACATGTACCTCTCTTGACCTAAGAGTATACATGGGTACATGAAAACTCTCAGGAAAACCTCACAAATTCTGAGGGGTAACTCTGCTATACACCAGCATACCATTCTGCAGTACTCCCAATCAATTCCTGCTAGGAGAATGGGCCTTCAAGCTTATAAGATGAGTCACCCTTTTTATTCAAGGATGAAGAGAAACTGAACAAACTACTTAGCCCTTTACACCCTAACGTCAAGACACATATTTTCCATACTGTTCTCTACACATTTCCTTAGGTGTTGACCAAAAAAATATGTTTAACAATCAAGAGCTTCTTTAGTACATGAACATTTCCTTTATTCTTGTGACCAAAATGTTTGATTCAGAGGTGATACTGTGAGGGAAAAGTAGATGCTAGTCACTCTGAGGGTTAACAATAAGGTAACTCTGGCTGGTGGCTCCATCCCTGTGATAGCTAATGACTATACTTCACTGGTTAGATGCCTCAGGCCATACCATGCAATAATGTTTTACTCACACTTACATTGGCCATTGTATTATTATTATCAGCATAACCATTTGTAAGGTGCATTGGTATTGAGTTTTCCTGTCTTAATCCTCCATTCATGTGAGGTCTGTCTTCCATTCTTCTGTGGGAATAATTATTAGCAGGGACCCTGGCAGTTGGCTGTTGAAACAAAGAAAAGAACTTTGTCAGAAAAACACAAAACAGAAAATTAGAAAATTAACAAACAAAAATAAAATTTAAAAAAACCCACAAACAAAAACAAAACAAAAAGCATATCAGATTAATCACAACACATAACTGACAATGAGACTTTTACATTTCATTAAATTGATCTCAGTGTTTTCTGATTATCTGCCCGTATGAGTCATTTTATCTCATGTACATACTGAACAATGATAACAGGTAGTTTTTAACTGTGTTTTTATGCACCAGCAGAAGCTTCCAAAAAAACTAAATTGGGCTATCTATGGCAACAACCACAAACTGTAATCTAGATTTGGAAGAAAGAAATATACTTTTTCAGCAGTTAAAATTCAGAATTCAACTAGAGACACAAAACTTTACAGAAGATGGCATCAGAAAAACAATATCACTCTGCCTAACCATTTGTAGTGTTCAATTCACCTATAAATCTGGTCTTAAAAAGCATCAAATTTTTTTTCACTGTTCCACATGATCAGTAATGTATACATGCTTATATGGTACAACACAGAAGTCAGAAATTTATTTACACATTGAAAGTAATGTTGTAAAGCTTACTGCAAAATATTGGTTACACAGAGAGACTTATGATTGTAAATATTGTCACATGTTAAAACAAGAGTACTGGTTATGTGGTTGAATTTGTTTATAAATCATAAGTCAGTCTTGAACAATTGAGAATGGATGCATAATATAATTTAGTTTAAGCTTTCTGCTCTTTTAGGCAAGCATTTCTTAATGAAGGCATTCTTTAATCAAATATGAAAGAAACAAAAGAGCCATAACAAATGCAAGTACAGAGCTCTTAGAGGGCTGAGTAATCTAACATAAGAAGGAATGTGAGATCAAGAACAGTAGTTGCAGCCAACATCACTGGGCAAACCATCAAATGGCACTTGCATATTGTAAATACTTGTGTACAAAAATTCTACCATGTCTATTTAACTCAGCTGTCCTTTGTTATTAATACAAAATATGAGTAAACATTGATCAAGCATTCCAAAAGATCTTGGACAATGAATGCAGCTCTATAAATAAGAACCCTAAGATTGAACTAATGAGCTCTACAACTGAATTAAGCCACTAGCAAACTGAGTGGGAAATTACTATCATGAACGAGGCTTTCATGAACTAGGCTCCAATATGGCAGAATTCATTAAAATGAACCCTCAGACACAAGGGGTTACCAACTGACATAAAATGTGAAAGTTGACAAGAGTCACAAACAATTAATGGACAGAACTTTACTTAACAACTGGCCCAGCATTTCAGTTGTTGATAAACCCACAGCAGTTCACTTCAAATAATATCTTCTGAGCGCACTATCACGGCATCTATCTGATTTTGATATTATCAAAAGTAGCAGTGCATGATGGAATCTACAGAATCTAAATAGATAACATATTTTTATACATGGTAAACTTGTTGGTTGACTTTAAGTTGTCACCTAAGAGCTACAAGTAATAGACACCCCCTTAAAAAAATAATTCAATAACAAATAACTAAGAAATGGTACTCTCATTTCATTGCAATTTGCTTTACTTATGCCATATACTTTGTTCAGTGATCCCTTCCTCCATTCAACATCTTGAGAACAATTAAGCCACAAAAAACTTGTTTATAATTCATTAGTTTTTCTCTGTTTATGGAGTCACATACCTTTACTGTTATGGTACCATCACTTTCCCTTTGAAAATTGCTAACATCAAGTTTAGGTCCTCTGTAGTAAGACATGCTTTGAATAGTGCACCCAAGCCAGTATAAAGTGCTCACAACCTGACAATGAACATATTTTTCTTATTTTTTAGGGGAAATAAACACAGAAAACCAGGCTAATAGTCACATCCTGGCCAAGAAAAACTAAAATAATAAGTTCATAAGCCATAAGTTTATTTATCCTGATTAACTTCTAATCAGATTACATTCACCTTGTAGGTAAATTATATTTGAGGCACTCAAGTTACCAAGACCACATGTACCCTATTTTCTCACTAAAAAAAGTTTCTCTGTCTGTTGATTGTCTTTGTAAACTTCCCAGCCCTTGGTTTACCTTGTAAACCTCTATCAATATGTTTACATAGTGAATATAATTATAATGCTAATACTTCTTACAGTAACACCTTAACTTGATTTTCTTAGAAGGTCCATGAGAAAAACAAAATTAATACAGTAATTATTTATATCAAGCTTTAAAAAAAGACTAAATAAAACATGATAATTTTATCCATTACCTTTTGAACAACTTCATCTTCTGATTTGTAGTTGCTAAACATAACAAATCAAAGTAAATCAAATGAATTAAAAAATATGGATCTTTAAAAAGATAGCCTGCCACACTAAAAAGTAATGCTCAGCTGTACAAACTGAATCCAAAGCAGTTGCTGCTTGTAATTTTGATTCACTAATACTGCCATGCATTTAATGTGTTATTAGCTGAGAATAATTCAATGAATTGTCAAAGATAATTACATCACATTATCTCCTGCTTCTAAATCCTGAGGATCAAAAAGTTGCCAAGCACTCAGACCAAGATCAGAACAAACACGCAAGAACTTTTTTAGGTTTATCTGCAAAAAATGTCAACAATAAATCATTAGTTAACTATTGGTATGTAATAAACTCATTTTTATCATCTACAAAGCTCAAAATGTCACATCACAAATGGTTCACAAACATGGATTATTTCACGGCATCAAATTTGAATGATATTTATGAGACAACATGGAAAAAGTCGGGCTGTATCTCTAAGTTTAACTTAATCAAATCTGTCTGAATCTTCTTCACACCTCTTGTTAGCTTCCTTGTTTCTTTAGGCTTCATCTATGATTGCGTGACTTTTTTAAAAACAGAATTCTTACATGTGTCACCAGGAATTAAATGGGGTCACAGCTGAGACTATTTTGACAGGGTCCTAGCCATTGAACCAACCGTTAATTGTTATGAAATCTAATTACATCCTACACCAAACTTAAATCTGCTTAATTTAATATCGTCAGTTCCATTTTTATTTTCACCTTTAGGGTCTCAGACAGCTTTTAGACTATGACTAAGTCTTAACTCAAATATTACTCTAAAGCTGATCACAAGAAATGAACCCTACAAGGTAAGTGTGCATACTATATGTATGTATATACAATAATTTTGTTAAAACATTCTGAATAAACAGCAAACATCTGACGTATCACTGACATTACCCTGATTTAAAAGAGCTCAGGGAGGTAAGCAAAAACTGTTAGTAATGATGATTTGGAAAATAAACTCTCACAATAACACAACTAAATGCACTTCACACTTTCTTCAGTTCAGTTAGATCATGAAAGGAAGGCCACATCAGATACAAAGGATTAATTGCCAACCAGCATTAGGCCATTTAAACATGATTCTCAATTTTTTGTTGTTTTGACAAAACACGGTAAATTACACATAATCATTTCCAAGCCACCTGTGCAATTAGTACACTTTTACTTGGACCCTCTCAAGTCTGTTGATAATGGAGCCAATTGTTTTGGGTCAATCATGGCTGTTAAAAATCCATCTGATCACTAGAGTATAAATTACTTCACTGAGCAAAAAATCACTGCCAGAGAAAGAATTGCAACATGCAGTCAAAGAGTTGCCCTTCACTCCAAGAATACAGGATTCTAAAGTTCCAGCACCATTATACACTACATTTTTCTTTCTGTTGACATGCAGTCAAATTGTAAATCAAAAGCTGTTTAAATTTGACATTACAAAATTATAATAAAAAAAAAATTCAGCAGTACTCATATCTCTAAATATTCATTTCAAAACAGGACAAACACCAACTAAAATTAGTTACATGAAAATTATCAAAGATGAACTCTAAAATTGCAACAATTGATTAATGTGTGAATTAAGTTTAAGTCTAATCTAGTCAATTGTCTTACATGAAGACATTCTCATATTTTACTTAGATAAGTTGTGTATCAATTGGGTATTGTCTACACCAGCTTGAACATTTCAATAATAATTTTATCAATGGTCTTAATTTACACCAATGCTCTACTCTGTCTGTTTCTAGGGGCTTTCACTTCATTACATCACTTGACTGAACTGGCTGATAATGAAATGTTAAAGACCATCAAACACACATTTAAAATGGTTTAACTGCAGACAACGACACCCCTGATGTCATTATGACTGTGTTTATGTTAGGAATACAAACAGTGAATGATAGAAGCTAGTTATAAAACTGGCTCAAAAGTAAGTTTCTTGGTTTACACAATAAAAAGTATCCCAAAACTTGTCTAGGTTTTAATACTTTCTGTCCCAATTGGATTTCTAGTGTCATATATTTTTTACTTAACACTCATACACTCAATCTTGATAGAAATTTCGCACAATTTTTGTCACTAAACTTAAATTATTTAACTTGTTCAAATTTCTTATCATTCCTTTATTTGGCTCAATATTGTAGCAAGAACGAATATTTGTGATGTAATTAAACTGAAATAGCCATGTAATAAAGATTTTCTGTTCAACAATATTACATTAGAAAAAGTGAGGAAAACAACTTTGTCTCGTAACAAATTTAACAATTAGAAATTGGAAATTTTCTAAAATAAAAATTTCAGGTTGAAATGTTTATCTGATAGCATGATAAAGCATCTCAATGATGGTGTGAGAAATATGCACTTAGCTGACCAAAAGCTGGCCAAAACAACATATTTTGGGATTTAGGTGATTAAACTCAAAGCTAGTCACGAAACTTGGCAATTACTCATTCACACCTACAGCTGCTGCCGTTTCGAAAATAAGTATGGAATGTACAGAAACATGTGTATTTCTAGAACAATTGATCGTGACAATAATAATTTTCATACTCTATAATATTGCACCCAGGAGCCCTTCGAAATATCGTGGCTCAATAAAACATTGATTGATTGAATGAAATCATCGTCTTGAGACATTGGATTCTGTCAACAAATGCAAATTATCATGCCAAAGAATGGCGTATCAAAGACGTTGTGTGATTTTCACAAAAGCGAAGAATTACAGTACAGGAGCGGATTATTCTCCGAATATTTGAGACCGAGTCTTTAAATGTAACCTATCCAGACAATACTGTTTCAGATTCACTTGAAATTAACTTCATTTTGAAACAATCACGTTTCCTGTTGGCGTTTTTGTACGATGACTAACTAAACGTATCCACAACAATGGCGGCGATGATATGAACTAGTTTCCGGTCGCAACAAGCAAATTTTCGCACCATGTAGTGTTGTTGGTGACCTTTGCAACAACTAAGGTTTCAAAAAATTCGTGGGAAGCATAATTTACACTTAAGATGAAAATTTACTCTATTATCCAGTAAAACGTACGGTCCATATCTCCCTTCCACCATATTGCTAAGCAGACCGATTGTCACGAATGTTTTCATTAGTTATATACACAACTTGAGGCATGACTTGGAGAAACGAGTGAAAGCTTCAAATTTTCGATTAGCCTTGTACCATCCAATTGTCAACATTAATTAGGAATAAACCGTTTTCCTCATCATAACAGCAAGGAACCGCAAAACACTAAACTTAAAACAATTATATTCGAGTGCTTACTAGCCGTATCCTCTACGACATTAAGGGAACGTCGAGCGTTCGAAGTGCAATTCACCGACACAGAAAGAACTACAAAGAGTCAGACAGAAGTTTCTTACAATACCTGAGATTCCTGAGGGGTTGGATTTTCGTTCACATCTTGAATTATCGACGAATCTGGTTGTATTCGCTTCACAAGACTGCAGATCGAGAACAAATATACGATGAGCTCAGTGGTATGCAGTGGTAAGCTTATCCTGGGCCTCAAGCCAACATATCCTTATAAAAACTTACTAGCACAGTAGAACGCCGTCTTGCAGAGATTCTATGAATCGTGACGAATGAAATTGACGTCCTGTAGCCTCCTAGATACAATTAAAGACACCAAAGTTAATCAAACCGGTTGTTAATGTCTACTACCGTCTGTCCATGGACAAGCACGCAAAAGCTTCACAGGGGTTGTTGTAAAATGACACTAAATGTCTGTAGATCTCACCTCAATCCATTGTTGAGTGATCTGTCGAGCCGTATCCGATTTCAACGAGGAATCAAAACCCTCCAGTTCGACTCCGCTATCAGGGTTTGTAGCATAAGCGTTTTTATGAACCATGTCAGTGACGGACGACACGGGTCACATATTCTCTTAACAAAAGACCCTTTCTTTCACCGAAAAGCTTGAACTTTGAGCTTTAAGGGAATTTAAACCACTGCAGACTGTTGTACATACCCTCACTACATTTGTTATCACTACTGTTGTAGATGAAGCTGTGACATAGATCGAATATTTTGCATTCACTCCGCATCAGTGGCCGACTGTGGCAGCCATTGAGGAATTTGCGATACGGACGATGATTGGTTGACAAACAATACCAAAAAGTACAAACTGTTTACATAAGAACTTGCATAATTTTGGCCTAAACTTGTCTGCATGTCACTTGCTGAGGCTGCTATCACTTCGATTTGAATACCTATTAAAACAAATTATCTTGGGATCCTTTGTCAGAATATATCTTTATTATTTATTATTCCTCCAAACTGTGATTTATTTAAGAAATCAATTTCATAATGTCTTGAAATTTCCACTGTTCAATATAACTTTCCCCACAAGCTCTCTTAGTCATCAAGTACACTTTTGTTGTTGGAAATAATATTTTTCATCGCCTTTGACTTAAATAGCGAGACATTACAAAGCCTTAGCTGGTGTTTTTGTTTGAGCTGTTAATGTTTTTAACTCATTCAGTATTTCAAACAAAAATTGCTAACAAAATTACTTTATGTTTAGTAGATAAGTATTTATAAAGATACCTGTTGCACCGACCAGAAAAAGCTGAAAACCACATTTCTAACATGGTATTCTAATCATGTCACACGCTGTAACTCAATTAAATCATTTTTTTTTAATAATTTTGACAGGAATTCAATATGTTTGAATTGCGATCAAACTCAGGATTAATACAACACAAGGAATGATATCGATCAGAAAAAAACCTACGACCTTATGAAACCCTAAAAATACAACCTAAGAAGCCCTAAAAAAAGCATATTTACCTTAAATCCCTGTTTTTTATTATTGCAATTAATTAAAGGATATAAACACAGAATCTTTTTTTTTCTTTCACACGAGGATCTTTATCGAAGGAATTGAAATAAAGTCCTCTAACCGGCTCTTTCTACGAAACGCCCACCCTCATTTCATTCAGACAGATTGACTTCAATACAGGCCTAGGGCGTTCACCTCAATAAATGACGTATTGATGGCGGAAACTTTCTGGTTTCACTAAAGAGTTCTCTTTCCTCTTTGATTCAACTGAAGTGCCCTTCACGATATGGTAAGTGAGTATTTGTTAATGGTTGCGATAGATTCAAGGTGTCAAGAGCAAGTTTAGGACACTGAACCAACATACCCGTTGAGAACTACGCTTAGCGCGTGATCTAACCACCTTTGGCACAGTTTCGCTCTGACGACGGGCTAACGCTTGAACCGTCAGCTTTTAGACTCTTTACGGTGGTCAATTTACGTTATCAACTCGGTTGGTAATACCTTGTTATACTCTCTCACCGACGCAGCTCCACAGTTTCTTTAGAATCTTACGCCTCGAGTTCCAGTTTAGACCCATTCGTCGAATCTCTTCACTCACTTGAAGATCAATAAAACTACTACTCTAGATAAAATAACTATACGGAGTAACTGCTTCAACATCAATAACTCATTGAACTTGATTTCAAATCACGTCAATATTCCAAGACTTCAATCAATCTATAAGAAGTCGTTTCAGTCGACCATGTAAAACGAGCATGGAAGGAATGACCAGCTCCAAGACCTCCGTTCTCAAAGTATCCAGCGATTTGTTACTGTTCCATAGTTCTATACTACTGTAAAACCTTATAGTTAGGTGTGTTTATATGATATTCTCTAGAAATGAAATTTATTCAGTGCGTCCGGCTGTCTAATAAATTTTCTTTTTAAGTCAAGTAAAAGTGGAACCAGAAACCCCATCAGATCACCGGGCGTGAATCATATGGTGAATCGGACACTAAGTTTGGTAAGGGGTAACAGAGCAGTCCCTTTAGGTACCAAAGAACTTTATTATATTGTATAATATTCATTTAATTGATTCAATTTGAGTTAAGGAGCGTCAACAAACCAGGGTAAGTGAGCTGCTTCTATCCATTAAACAAACACAGGCCATCATGTATGGCATCCCTTGCAGTTGGCCATTTAGTGTTCTACATATTTTTTTAATCACTTTTTACAGCTTACTATTTATCTTAAAATGAAGTCTAACTTTACCACATTTCAAATCTCCTCAGTTGCAAATTTTTTTTTATTTCCTGTTCAATATAGAACTTATACTTCTAACTATTTCTGTTTTGTGATGAAATTTTGTCCGAATATTCCTACTTTTAGATTTCTCGGATAATAATCCTCAGTGATTATGTGTTGTTTGAAACGTCCAATGTTCCTCATATGATTTGCATTTCAAAGTCTTAGAGCTGATGAAAACTGCAATATAGCAATGTTGAACTCACCTCACAAATAGACAGATATCAGAACCACAGGCGTCACTTATATTGCATAGATAGTAATTTAAAAGTGGGCGTTACCCTGTACCGGAAAAGCAGTTTTCAATCAATGCTATACTTCCGGTGAGCATCAATGTCTCATTTGAATACTGAGAATTTTAAGTTTTGTCCCAAATTTATCGCCGAAAGTTCAGTTAAGAATGCGAATATCCTAAATGATTAATCAGGGAAGAAACCCACCTCCAAGAGGGTTTTATTGGACCAATATGTAGATGTGCCGTAAATTTTGGTGGTGTTGCATTTGAAAGGTTTCATTTTTCCTGCGGAAGCTTTAGACTGCCTATTTAGTGGTTTTGTGTGGGATTTTGGTGTGTAGCGGCCGAGCCATGAATCTTAGCCGCAAAGTTGCGTGAAGTTTGGATGCAAAATATCAAGTAAAGATACACTAGGAGTGTGGATACTGACCCAGATGCGACTTTGCCGCTCATTACTTTTGAGCGCGCACAAAACCGCGTAGATTAATGAAGCTTATATTTGCGGATGGAGAAAAAACCTTAAAATCCAAGGAGTTAACATTTCAAGAAATGCTTATGCTGCATGGTGAAAAAAAATCTTTACGTAGATCTACGCCTGTTCTAGATCAACTTTTCCTGGGCAGGTTCTTTCGGCTTTAGAGGAAGAACCTCCGCCATCATGTCCCTACTGACGACAGTCTTTGTGCAGCGAAACCCGTACCGTGGGTAAGGTAACTCTGTTATGATGTTCCACTGGTCTACCCGCCAATCATAACACTCCACTGATGTCACTGCCACGTGACCATAAGAACCACCGAACACGTAGATCTTCCCGCCAAATGCTGCTGCGCCTGCGCGGTCACGCTTGGTGTTCATGTCTAATTTAGGAAATGGAGAGTCTTATTTAAGATATCCTTAATTTTTCAATGACGTAAAATAGTGCAAACTTGAAAAGCTTTCTTCTGGTTTATTTCCTGGCAATGTCCGCCTTTTTTAAATTCCAATCTCTTCAATTTTTGAAAAGTTTGTCTGCCAAGTCTGATTTAGTATCCAGATTTGTCAGATTGATGTTACAAGATACGAAATAGGAAATACAGTCAGCGAGAAAGCCAAGTTTCAAGGGTTTTGCTTAAATTAGCAAACACAATGGTTAGGTTTCTCCTAACACTTATCAAACGAGTCAACAATGATATCAATCTAGTTCTCAGAGCTCACGCATGCGAGTGACGAGAACGTCGATATGTTACAAATAAGCTGAATTTATGTTTTAACCTACGGAAAGTTGGTAACTTCAAGTACTGAAATATTTGAAACGAAATTCCACTTACCTTTCCCGTAGGTCCATTTATTTCTGCTTGGCTCGTAAATCTCACAGGAACTCAAAATGTTGCGAAAATCTGACCCGCCTCCCATGACGTAGATCCGACCTGAGAGTACCACTGTGCATGCTCCGCTTCGCGGCGTGTTTAGATTAGCCACACGGGTCCATTTAGCTTGATGCGGGTCATATCTCTCTACTGTTTTCAGGACTGTGTTATTTTTGGATATTCCTTTAGGAGAATGTTATAATAAGAGCTTCACAGCTGAATGTTCGTTGTGGAATCAAATGAAGAGAGTGTTCTACTAAGGCTCTCGTCGGTTTCTTTGTTTGTTATACTTGTTCTTTAATCAATCAATACAGCAAAACATTTTCTTTTTTTAACCTTGTAAACATGCTTATTTTTGCTCAAAAATCTCTAATAATTTTTTTCGTGGGGTAAAAGTCTACCATATGGTTTTAGCGTTATGTGCCTTATTAAAATGGAATCTACACCTTTGGACCTTTACCGATCGAATTGCAGTCGGCATGTTAAGATAATCCCTTTGCAGCTTTTTTTTTTAATATGATTCAAGGGTCTAGTGTCACCTCAATTTGCCTAAATCTTAACATTTAATGCTAAAACAAAATGTTGGAAAGTAAAAAATTATTCTGAAGCTATCAAAGAATTAAGAGGTATACAATCGACAAGAAAGGAAACTCGAATTAGTCAGTTTGGTAAGAAGTATTTTATCATTTAGAGTCGAACTATACCTCCAATAACATAGATATATCCATCCAAAGAAACAGCGCAGTGTGTATAACGGGTCTGACGGGGTGAGGACAGTGAGGACCAAGAATCAGTCACGTGATCATAACACTCCATGGTTTGCTCTTTATTACTGTTTCCCAGGACCCCTCCCACGACGTAGATTTTCCCATCGAGCTCGATGGTCTCGTGGTTAAAGCGACCTGGAAATCAAACAAAACAAAAACGGATATTTCTTATTCCTTGTTATGACAATTAACTTAGAGGTCATCAGCGATGAAAGATATTCCTGTTCTGAATCGATCTTTTGGCTAGAATTGGTGTGTTAGGGTTATGCTGTCTGCTTTCATACTTTGTTGCTTTCATCCTTGTGTTTAAGTTTTCCTACCCTTGATCCTTCTTCTCTCTGTACGTTCTTCTTCCTCCCCTGGGTAAAACAGCTCTTGAGTTAGCATAGGACTAACTACAGAACCGAATTCATTTTCATAGAGCATATAGCATCTCAAGAAAGCTAGCACTTTTCTTCCCAGACCTTTCTTATAAATCGGTTTACCACTTTTACCTGACGTAAGTGAGGCGACTTTCTCCCAAGTGTTGAACTTTGGGTCCAGCCTTTCTACAGTCGAAAGAACATTCATATTCTCTCCAGAAGTGGAACCACCCACGACAAACAACCAGCGATGTAACCTGGTCATGCCAAAGTTCAATCGACTGTCAATCACTGGAGACAGGCAGTGCCATTTATTGGTCAGCGGATTGAAACAATGACAGCAAGCTTGGACGCCATTTTCGATGACTCCACCCACTAGGATGATAACATCTGTCAACTGAGACCTCCACCTGGTATTCTCAAAAAGACAAAGGATTTCAAGGACATTTGAACCGACCATCATGAAAAACATAAAGAAATGTTTATTAGGGAACCTTTAGACGTAAGCTGAGTCTTTCGAACCTGGGACCCATTCCAAACGGATCTCATCGCGGTTGCTTGCCTAAGATCAGAACACAACAGCCAGGTTCGCTCGAGGACCTCTCGGTCTGATTTCTGGCGCGCCAACCAGTAGGTCACCCCCCCTACACAAACTTAATTTACGGCGAATGTGAATTTTTATGACCAACATGAGTTAGCTCTGACTAGAGCACTTTTCAGTTAAGCGTCTTAACAACAACCAATCAGAGGGGGGAAAGATATCTTTGAGAGCCAACGAGAATTTACTGTAAAACCAACCAAACTATTTAAAGTGCGGGAAAACGAGGGTGACAGAGTCGTGATCGGTTTCACTTTCGCTTCTGATTTGTCAAGAGGGTGGCACGAGTTTTCTGGACCAATCACAGAAAGAAGCTAGGCAAAACCAATGCAATTCTAGATAAATTTCGACAATCATTCGAAAATTGCTCTAACTACACATTTTACCTCCGTTTCGTTCTCTCATTCTGAAGCAATTTCTTCTCCTTGTGGCCAGCCATTTTGTAAGACAAGGCCTCGGCTACTATTTCTTTACAAACCGAAGATGATGTGACCAACGGATCCTTATCGATCGTGCCGAGCAGAAAGGTTCGTGCAATGAAAGGCAGTCGCACGTGACTCAATAAGTCGGAAAATGAGTCACGCCTTGAAATAACATCAAAGTTTGTCCACGCACAAATTGAATTGAAAATTTGTTCCTCATTTTTCACGTTTAAGTCATCGTCTGCGATAATTTCTTCCAGTTGCTCTTTTGGCATTTTGAAGAATTCCTCCGAGTTTTGAATCTCCAAGAAATTTTCTGGCATAAATCGCTTTCCTTCCCGCAGAAGTTTCTCGCATGAGTAGACGCGAGCCATAGCCGTCATTTTGATGCAGTTCTCGACGGAAATATGACGAATGAGAAACTGCTCACATTCAAGTTTTAGTGATTCTAATCCGAGCTGAAAAGAAGCGCAAAGTATCTCTTCAATGTTTACTTCAGTAAGAACAATATGAGCAGAGTAGATGTAATCTACAACAACCTGAAGAACAGAGTCTGTTATGCCTTGTAGAATTGTTTCTCTGTGGTACCTTGATAGCGAAGTACCCGTGTAGAGCTTGTAAAAATATTCACTGCTTGCGGCAAGAACAGCTCTGTGCGCATAGAACTTTGTGTTTCCATTCTCTGTCATTAGCACGACATCACATAACACCTCAGTTTTTCGCATCTGGTTCATTTTGGCGATAAAATTGATCAAATACCCATGATCGTTGATAAAGCCTGCTCCAGAGGTATCCATTTTTGTGGTGTTTTTGTATGTAAAGCCGCGTTAATAAAGTCTACCTCGGCTTTGTACCAGTTCCCCTTGCAGGTGGTTTTTATATTTAATTCATTTTATAAACAAAGCTCGTATCATCCTGAGCTTTGAATATTTTAGGTTGGATACCTACATGTTACAGTTTCTTAGTTAAAGGTAATTACAGTATTCAGTAAATGATAATTACAGTATTCAGTAAAAGAAAGATACTTGAGAGCTGGAAGTCGTACATGGATGAGATCTGTGTGAATAAAGAGAGAGAATAGGTTGCTTTGAGATGCCATTGAACAATTCAGTCTTTTTGCGGTAAGTGCACCTTAAGAGGGTCAAGAAAAAAAACTTCCAAAGCCAATAAACCTGATCCACATGAGTTTTTATTGAATTTGATCCCAGTAAAGCGAAATAACCTGTTTATAGGAGTTATACATGAGAAATCAGTCATAAAAGCCAAGGAATTATTTCAAAACAAGTTGAATGATTACAACTTCACACAGCGGGAGAAAACTGGCGACAAAATTTGTTCAGTTAATCTTCTGCTTACTAACAACTGTGGTGTTTCACGCAAAAATTATTAAAAAAGTTAAACAAGAGTGAGTCGAAATCTTTCCCCCTACCATAAAGAGGCTTTGTTATTATTTTCAATAGTAAGCGCAATAAATCAGTAAGCCGTTGATATAATTAAGGAAAAGTGGGTACTCTCACGAAAGACTCATTCGTGAACTGTTGCGAAGAATGCAGATCACTTCGCCCTCTTGCCATGTCCCATCGTGATGTTGAAAACATTCCAATACTTATACATTCAAAACAATCAAAGTAGTTTCTGTGTTCATTGAGTTTTTCACACTCAGGGCTCGTAAAGAAGCCGTTTGTATTATTTTTTCACTCTTCCTTTCAAGTAGGCGTAGGATCGAAGCATATTTGTTTTCCTGGATCTAACGCTCTCATTGATTAACCTGGAAAAAATGCGATGCGAGTCTGTTTTAATCATCATAAAACCCGCGCTGTGAGTTTAAATGCATTGTGATAATTACGTAATGAGTTTTGGGATGACGTAGCCTAATATATGTGGAAGCGAGAAATTAGACTACGTGCAGTCCCTCCTTTTTCGGCAAAGTACGTCGCATGGGTCCAAAGCGAACTCTAGGAGGGCGCCTGACTCTCGAAGTTCCGTGCAGAACGCTAACTTTAATTTTTTTTTTCTGATCATTTATTTTGACTCGCACTACGGAATTCGTTAAAAAAGTATGGACTACTCATAGTCTAGCTAGAAACATGTGTGATGGAGAGCGTGCAGGATTCCGGACCAAATGCACTTGGGCTTCAAACTTAGACTGAGATGATGCTTTCCGCAACACATTAAACTCTAAGTTTACGCTGGTTGAGTGATTGGATAAAGTACATAGACACGAGAATTATGAGTTAAAGCAAACCATTTATTAATAAAAAGAAAGACATCTAACAGAGAAATAAAACCATTACATAACCTCATACAGTCACTTTCCCAATTTTTTCTCATTACAAACTGTTCAAAGACCAGGTATTGCATCTTCACAACAAGAAAATGTTTCATCATCGTCTCCACAAACTGCCTCCAAACTATCATCATCTGATTCTGAGTTTTCTATCATCACCGTGGGGTTTGATATCACCAAACCTATAAAAACCAAAAATAAAGTTGCTTACTGTCTTTCAACCATAGATAAAATCAGAGCCTGCTACTAATTGTGGAGCGATGATAAAACTTTTTCGATATGTTAAGCTAAGAAAATATGACGCATTGCCCATAAAAGCACTTCATTCGCGAAACTTTCAATATTTCATCCTCCTCAGTAACAAGTTCTGACATGGTGATATCATCATCACCATTTCCCTCCTCATCTTCACACATCATATCCACAACAGATGTAAACAATATTTGATCTAAGTAAAAGGCAGAGGTAGAGAAAGAAAGAAAAAAAGTAATAATTAATAGTAAAATAGCCTTGCAATTTGTTTGACCCCATTGCTGTGAATGTTTCTTAATAATTCAAATCTTCTAATTTTTAGGCCTCTGACTCACTAGGTCAAGGGTGACATTGATATAAATGAGGGGGGAGGGGAGGAGTGAAAGGTAAAAGTGGCTGTGAGCAGTGATCAATACGTAAATTCTCCATCCAATATCAATATGATGTTGGGCAGACATGGCAATAGGAATTAATTAAATCAACTCCTGGGATACTCTTTCACTCAATACCTAATTTGAACTTAAAAATGACAAGATGAAAGGAGAGATGAACAAAAAACTAATGATGAGATCCTTGGGGAGAAAGGATTAACAAAGAGTCTCTCAAGTGAATTTGTGATCTCACCACAATTTTTACACCTCCTCTTTCATAATTCTCAAGATTGCCCCTGATTATAAATTTTGATAAAGTAGTCATAACTTTCAATTTTAAGCTTGCCTTAGATCAAATTACTCAGTACACAATTTTGATTAAGTTGTCATATATTTTCAATTTTAAGCTAGCCTTAACTAAAGTCAGTCACTAAGTCCAGATTAAAACCCATGCATAATATGCAACTCTGTGTGAGTCTTCTTTCTTACTGGCTTTAATTTTTTGCGAAACTTAGAAAACTGTGAACACAAGAAATAGTTACTGAAGGTTATGCTGTTTTTTGGAAAAAGCCAGTCAGGTGTCAGAAAACTAAACCATAAAGAGTAACTGTAAGGAATTTGTGGTTTGAGGTTTACTCATGTGCCCGACACTTAACTGTGATTGGTCAGAGCACAATTGGCCAAATATAATGAATTTTCAGTGTTCATGGTTTCCTGAATCTTAAAATAATTTAAGACATGCAAAAATATACTCACTAACTGCTGCTGATAATCTTGTGTGTCTCCTGGCAAGATTTCTAACTACATTATCCCTTGCTATCGTCTTGAGCCTGTCAGCGAAAGAAATCATATGCAAAACATTTTAGGTCTTTTGAAGTACAAATGACTCTAAAATTCACCCAGACTATTTCATATTTTCTGCTTTTGTTAAGTCTTCAAGAATTTTTTTCTTTTAACCATTCACATTAAAAATGAACAAGCAAGTGTCTTGCAGCTATGTTCAAAAGGAGTTAAGGAATTTGTGCTATTAAAAATGGCTAAATACAGTGGTGGATAACTACTTTCATGAACTTTCCCACACAAACCTCCCAAGTGTATGTACAAGCTTAAATATATCATCAGAGGGCAAACCACAGTGCAAAATTAATTTCTCTGATTGCATTGTCTCTTCAAGCAGTCAGGAAAATGTTACACTGATCTTGACTAACAATAAAATTTAAATTTCCACCAAAAGAGAAATAAATTGCTCTGTTTAGGGCAAATTTTCTGGAAGATGAAGGGGTTACATGATGCATGGGCTCTTCATAGCTCAAGTAAGGAAATACAAAGCTGTCAAAGGAAGGGGATTGCATTCAACCACTTTCAGTATCCAGTATGTGGAAAGAGCCTAAGTTACTAGGCATTAGTTGCCAAGCATTTTTTTTGTCTACTGCGGTGGTCCTACTTCCCATGTTTTACAACTGATTCAAACTAGTTTCCCACCCATTGAGAGGTTGATCACCTACATCAACCAAAACGGTTTTTCTCGAGAACGCAGATCAATCCAACAATCTTATTAAACGGTTAATCGCAAAAGAACAGTACCTAGCTACACGTGACAACATCACTAATAAATACTTACAATCCACAGTCTCGAAGAATGGACTTTCCCACTGCAGAGGACAAACTTCTTGCTAAAAATAAGAGAAACGGTTCGATTTATGTATTTAAGCTCATTATTTTGATCTGTTACATAATTAGTCGTTGATAACATCAATTGACAACCATGGAAGCAAGAATATCGTAGTACTAGTCACCTTGTGTCGCACTGTTCGCATTCAAAGCTGTTTTCTGTGAAAAAATAAGAATCAGATCAGCCAGTGTATTATTTGATTGCTTTAAATCAGACTATCTGAATTTCTTACCGACATTTGCACCGAAACACGAGCAATTGATCTAATACAACGTGCAGATAACGCCGCCATTTTGCTACCTTCCCATCAACCTACACACGCTTAATGATGCAACCGAAAAGAAAAAGCG